TTTGTTTGCCTTTTGGTAAATACAGCGTGACAGGTATTTTAGGCATTCATCAATTCGCAGGTGACAGCCTGAAGAGAATCCAGTCATCTTGGCCTTAATCCCTAAGCGCTCTTTTTGGCCATCGAAGGTATCATCATTAAAGGCACATAAAACTCTTGGCACTCTTGGCTTTCCTCCTGGCTGTATTTATTAATGCGCAATTATCAATAATTATCTGTTTATCTATTGATTGACGAGGCATTGGGTGGGGTTTTTATACCAAGAATGTGTGTATCTGCCTTCCGTTTATGTCATGTATTGTGTGGATTTTTGCCCAGCAAATTGCCAATTCAATTGAAATTTATTGGTAATTAATTAATTGGATAGGTAGGGTCCATGTAAATAGCTTTGAAAACTATTTTAAAATATTAAATGAGTTAAATGATATAATAGATAGGAATTTATGTAACTTTTAACGATCGAAATGATCTACAAAACAATCGTAAAGGGTTTTGGGTGATATTTTCACTCTGATTTTTTAGTATTCCGATTATATTTTTAATCTCTTGCCTTGCTTAAAAGGTTTTCAATTCCAAATTTATATCGTTAAGGCTCCTTTTAGATATCGTTTATAAATGATGTTTCTGATTTTCCGAAAGCTACTGCAAATGAACTGAATAAATTGCCCCACTGAATCTCACCCACAATTCGATCGGGCCTGGCATTAACCCCACCATCCACCTTCCAGCAGATGCCAGCCAGCCAGCCAATCACTTCATAAACTTCCTCGCCAAAAATAACCAAAGGAAAAAAAAAAAAATGAGAAAAAGAAACCCAGGCAGAGGCAGAAACAAACAACGTTTTCATAAACGATTCTTCGCCGGGGCCCGCGTCAAAGAAATTTTCTGAAAGAGGCAAAACACGAAAACGGAAAATAATAAGACATTCCATTCCTCACTCAGTCCTCGGTGCCCGGTGCTGGGTACTGGGTGCTCTGGGTGCTCTGTGCTCTCTGCTCGGTGCTCCCAACCAGCTGGAAATACTCAGCGACGGGCCAGCGCAATCTAATTAGACATAATAAGGCAAACAGCCGGCGGAGAGGGATGAGAGGAGGAGGGATTTTGGGGGCATCGAATTTGACCAGGGAGTTTCGGTTTGTCAGCCGCGGCTCAGCTCCACCACTGTTGCCAGGCAATGGTAACTGGTAACTGGTTACTGACCAAACGACCCAGCGAAACGAAGCCTCCGACGGACTAACGAGTATGGTCGAGATCGTAGCCCGGACTTTTCCGGCCATGCTCTGTGCTATTAAAATATATTACAGCAGCAATTTCACCCGACTTTATTTTTGCGCTTTAGTTGCTAGTTGTTCAGTTGCGGGCTCCAGCGGACTTGAGGAGCGTTCTCCTCCGGTGTATATAACTTAATTTTTATGGTCATGCAAGTCAATTGCAGTTTGGCATTTCTTCGATGGATTTTTCTTTGGTTCGGCCCCATGGAAACGCCATCCTTGCCGTCGCCGCCGCCGCCATCATCTTCGTCATCGCCTCCCGTCATCATCTGTTCTTCGTTTTGGAGTTGCGATGGCTAAGGTTACGCTTAGAGAAAATACTAGTCTTTTGCTAAGCTGGAAATAATAAAGTACACCTTTAATATTATATATACAATATCTTTTTAGGAGAAGTTCTATATTTATTTATTTATTTATTCTAATTGTAATAAATACATTTCCTTTTTGGAATGATAAGAACTGGAGAGAAGTTCTATCTGGACATAACATTTATTAGAGGAGATTTAGGGGATTTCGCTTAATAAGATTTTCATTAATTTCTCATTTAAATATTATTTATTAACAAATAGATACTATTTTCCAACAAATAAAACACCAAACTTATGGCATATTATTTTTAAATATTTTACAAATACTTGTTAATTAAATTTCCAAGTGTAGGCTTGGAAAAGTCGTAACATGAGACGCAGCACAAATTGTTTGCTGAAATGGCAAATGACTGTGAGTCCAGGCAAAAGTCGCACCCGGACGGCATAGGAAACTATTATTCACTTTGGCGATGGATATAGAGCTCTCTAACAAAAACCAAGTAATAGTCAAAAAGCCAAGAGGAAGTTTGAATGTGTACAAGAAGACCAAGCCAAGCTTGAAATCAAGGTTAATTTTAAAGGTATAACTGAAATTCTTGGATAATATTTATTTATATTTAATAAATTAACAAATATTCAATTAAAATTCTCAAACGTATTCTATTTTCTCAGATCTCATATACAAAAATTATCATAAAACTGATCAATCTTTGTGTAGCAGCCCACATTCATTGTTGCCAACGAAACGTGTGTCGCACTTCAGCTTGCCTTCTTCATTAATTTCAGTTTTTTTTGGGCACAACTTCAGTTGGCAAATTGGAAACTCGTAAAAATTCTCACGTTTTGCTCCAAATTTTGTAAGTCAGACAGCTTTTCTGTTTTGCATAATCACCATAGCCGCAACAAGTCACACAGCCAACACACGCCTCAGCCAGAAACAAAGCCGGGACGAAACAAAAAAGAATATATAGAAAAAGAACCCACAAAAATCATAAAAACATAGCAAACTGTCAGCCGTCGAAGCAGCTCGTAGACACGATTATGATGCCAAATGTGATCGTAAAAAAGAACTGAAGCTCAGACTTGTTGCCGAGCAGTGTTTCTCCAGTGGGCTTAAGACTTTGTACCCTGTAATTGTACACAGCAAAGGAGTAATGGGTTCCTAGAAAGAGCGCTTAAGTATTGTATACTTAGTAGAAATAAAAGAAAGTATGAATATATCGATACTGTATCGAAAGTTGACGAGGGAAGAACACAAAAATCACTTCGATATTTTAACATTGCAATGAATCTATAGAAAAAAAGTTCACTAAATACAGGGTACCTTATGGTCTAACCCCTTTCCATCTCAGCGTTCATTCTTGTTTCTACTTTTATCAAATTGCCTGCCGGCCAGACCGCAGATTGTGATGCTGTTTGCTATTTGTTGTTGTTCGGTGGGTCGATTGCCGGTTGTTGGGTTGCTTCGATGGTTGTTCGTAGTTGCTGCTGTTCCCTGGCGGGAACACACAGTTTCCTGTATGCGTGGAGTGCGGATTACTATTACTGGGGGTATCTTGGAGCCACCGCTGCCTTGGGCTATGCAAATTCATCATCCAACAATGCCCTAGAAACACACAAAACCGGTGGCTGTTTTGGTAACCCTCCAGGAGGGAGGTCCACACGTCCACTTGCCGATGGTGCAATGAACCCAAACTCGGCCCAAGCTTGAAAATTCGGCGCTCGTGTGGACCCCCAAGGTGAGCTGTTCGCTAATGAATGAATCCGTCATCTCCAGAAGCTGCCCCATGAATTTGTATTCAAAAGATCTGTACACTTAACGATCACTTTGACGAGCCTAATTGGAAGATGTTGGAATTGGCAGGGCACAAGTGTCATGAACAAAGGCCTTATATAGATGCTTCGTGCGTGGAAATATTATTATTGAAATTGGTTTTTTTTTAAAGCAAATTTGGGACACGCATGAACCTTAAATGGGGGAAAGTTTCTCTAGAAGTGGGATGGTGCTAGAAGCAAGAACAAACCCCAGTAAATCAGAAGCTTTACAGTTTTTTAAACGAATTATTACCGTTTTATGTTTACTGCCTCCTCTGACTAATGCTAATGATATTGTCCGCTGCCAAAAGTCGTTGCACTTTTCGCAAAAATTTAATTCCGGGAGACAGCACGCAAATTTATGGCGAAACCCGTTCTCTTCAAGCTCACCTCGTTGTTGGGTGATGCTTGTTACTTTGAAATGGCATTTAACGACAACCAAAAAAATAAAAAATCAAAGTAAAAAAAAAGAAAACTGCGTCTGGGGTAAACAAAAAATACGTATATTTACAGTAGAAGGTACGTAGCAGCCACTTCCTGTGCGACATTTTGTTTGGTTAATTGCGCTGAATGATAACTAATCATGGAAATTAGATAACGCTATGCAAACAAACACTCTACGTAAGTGGAGAAGTAAAGGAAAAATTACTTGGAATATAGGAGAAACTCTGGCTGCAGAGTCACCAACTCAAGTAGTCTTCTACGAAGGGTCCAACATTTCGGACTTTTAGCGCGGAAATGGAGTCTGGGAAAAGGCAAGAACTAAAGTCACAGACTCTAAATCAGTTATAAATTAATAAATATTATAATACATAAAGATTTGTGCGTGAATTCATGTTTATTTCTTTGGCAAGGATATATTAATCAATCTTTCAATAATATTTATTTATAATTAAACTTGAAAAATACAAACATAAAATAGTTTCGGTTATGATAAAAAAGTGTCCCCTAATTGTTGGAGGGCAATGAGTGTTGAATGCCAAAAAAAGTGGTTGAAAAAAACCCGTCTGATAGCTATACGACGTTTACGGTGTTCATAAATTTATAAACCTTGCTGACTGCACAGCGATAGTGAGCCCCAGACAATGCTGATTTCAGAAAATTAACTCAATGAGTTAAAATTAAAACTAAAGTAGTAGAAATCCTTTCATATTTTTAATATTTAATAATCATTTCCCTTGAAAAATCCTTTAAAACATGGCTAGATCAGGAATATATGTGGTTTATATGGTCGGAAATGACCCTTTTCTGTGTTTCATGATTTTGAATCAAATAATAATCAATATAATACACTTAGGGGTATACAAAAATATTAAAAATATATAAAAAAAACAAAATAAAAAATAAATAAATTTAAAAAATATTCAGAAAGAAGGAAGTTGCCTCATTAAAAAAAAATCACATAGCTCTAAAACTTTCAAAAATGCATTAGCGCCATCTATCGTTATGTTAGCAGACTAGCACTGTTATTGAAAAACCAGCCCCTTTTGGATTACGCCGTCAGGTGTCGCTTTTGTGATTACATGTAGAATATTTAAAATCTTATTATTAATTATTTTAATTAAATATATCATGAAACCCTATTTTCCCCCTATTTTTTCTTGCAGCTACAACATGCGTTTTGAGCCCTTGGGCCAGAAAATGTTCACCCGCCGCAACTGGCTGCTGCGTTGCAGCATCCTCATCAACGTGGCGGTTATCCTGTACATTGGCAGCCAGCTTATGATTGGCGGCGGCAACAACTTCACAAATGGCGGTGGATTCATGCTGCAGGATCAGCAGCCAGTCCAGGCCATGCTGCAGGTAAATGGAGCCATGTCCGCGGCGCAGGTGCAGCAGCAGTCGCAGCCACAACAACCGCCAACGCCCAAGAATCCACTAAATGTAAGTTTCAGCTTTACCTCTTCAACTTCTTTAACTAACATTCACTTTGACGCCCAGCAGGCGGGCGAGGTCTTTGAGTCGGAGGAGAAGCTGCAGGTCAATGGCGTAGACTCTCCGGCTGCTGCAGCGGCAGCGGTGGCTGCGGCTGCTCAAGCCTCTGATATTGCTGCAGCTGCTCCACCTGCTGTGGCCAATGAGAGTGGCAACGTTGGCAGTGATCCCTCTCAGGTGATTGGCAACATTGGACCCGGAGGAATTGGCCTTCCTGCCGAGGTGAACAACACCCAGGCGGAGGGCTACATTGTCACCGGCGACGAGAAGGAGCTGGAGGAGCGAGTGCGCTCGCTTATAAACTGCTTTGATCATGACTATCACCAGCAGACGCTGCAGCGCGGCGACTTCTGGGTGCTCCAGAATTACGTGCGAGCAGAGCACGGCGAGATCAAGTGCCACGAATCGATTACTTATACGACGCATGCGGATTATACCTTTCTGGATAATCTAGTGCCGCTGCTGGAGCGCTGGAATGCTCCTGTGAGCATTGCCATGCATGCCCCAGGCACGGATTTTCAGCCCACACTGGACTCTATAAGGTATCTGAGGGAATGCCTGCCTGGCAGTCATTTGGTTCGAGCTTACACCACCTTCCACATCTACTTTGGCACCAAGCACATACCCAAGTCAGTGCCCAAGCCCCATGATGTCTTCAAGACTGGCTATAACTGCTCTCTGCCGGCTCCTTATTTCAATGTGAGCTCGGGTCATTTGTACAAGGCTCAAAAGAAGCTGCTGTATCCGGTTAATGTGGGTCGGAATATAGCTCGCGATGCGGCGCTTACACACTTTATACTGGCCTCTGACATTGAGCTGTATCCCAATCCGGGTTTGGTCAAGAAGTTCTTGGAGATGATAGCCCGCAATGAGCAGTATTTGAGACGAAAGGCGCCTAGGTATGTCTGGTTATCTATTTTCCTGTTTTCCTTACTAAATGCTCTCCTGGTTTTTAGGGTATTTCCCTTAGCCATTTTTGAGGTGGAGGAAAACTCGCCCGTGCCTCATGACAAGACCGAGCTGCAAGAGTTCCTGCGCAGCGGCAAGGCCATACCCTTCCACAAGCGAGTCTGTGCCAGTTGTCATGGCGTGCCCAAGTCCAAGGAATGGATGTCTGCCAATGAAACGGATGAACTCAGTGTGTTTCATATAGGTAAGGCAAGAATTTCCTTAAGGAAAATCAAGAAATTAAGCTTTATACTCTTTCAAAGGCAAGCGCACAGGTTACTATGTCCACTGGGAGCCCATCTACATAGGCACACATGCTGATCCTCACTACGATGAGCGGTTGAGCTGGGAGGGCAAGAGCGACAAGATGCCACAGGTGAGTCTGGATAGACTACGATATCAGGAAATACAATTAACCTGTAACTTCTTTCTCAGGGCTATGCTCTGTGCGTGCTGGACTACGAGTTCCACATACTGGACAATGCCTTCCTTGTGCACAAACCAGGCATCAAGGTTCTAAAAAAGGACAACCGTCGGGCCATGCTTTCGGGGAAAACGAATCAACTGATACGAAAGATCATCTACCCGGAGCTAAAGATCATGTATGGCATGCGCAAGGGCTGTGCGATATAGTAACTAATTCTGAGACCGAGCTGAGCTCAGCCAGACGACTTGGCGAAAAGACTACAACCAACAACACTATTACTATTTGCAATGCTCTAGAGAGGAGGAGGCACCCCTCTCCTAGGGCAAGTGTGTGTGTGTTTTACGAGAGTTAGTTAGCTTAGCCCTAGAATTAAATAGAGCCTTACATAGGTAGTTAGGCTTAGCGATCAGGTTATGATGAGTGTGTGTTCAGGATACTCTTCTTTGAGGTATCAAGAAGAGACCTTCTCCTCACCAAGTCTAGGTTGGAATTACTTCCAAAATCCTGTTTTACTTCCTGTAAATATATCCACACACACACAAATGATTTTTGACAACTAGTTCCCTTCCTGGAGAGCCGGGTTTCCACTACTCATAGGCAGTCATTATCAGTTACTCTTAGTCCTAGTTATTAGCCTAAGTATATACATTTTAGTTAGCTGAATTCTCTTTCCATACACAACCATTCACGAGAGTTGAATCTGTTTTGATTTATGGCTTATGATTATTGAAATACTCCCGATTGTCTAACCATTTTATATATGTTTTGCCATAGCTTAAACACACACCTTTCCTTGGGCAATGTAGACTTACTGCAGAGACCAAAACGTAGACTAGAACGACAAGTTTCGAAAGCGTTGAATTGCTACGTATTACATAGACTTTGAGAGTTGAAACGTAATAGAATTAAACATACAATTAGAAGGCTAAAGACAAGTTTCAACAATTAACACACACACACAGAACACAGAACACTCTGAGAATTGATTATGGCAAATGAAGCTTGCGATTATGATGAGCCTAAAAAAAAAACGCAAGTAAACCGTGATATTTGTACTAGTAAAGCGAGGCGGAGTAAGGAGATGTTAAACCTAATTAGTAAGGAGCAAGAGGCAGAGACCCCAATGCATTAAACCTAACCGTAACATTAGTTTTGTATATGTTTTTTATTAGTGTTATCGGATATTAAGTCAGACTTGTGCACATATAAATGTTAAAAACATATTTGTGAAATCGAATCCGCGATTCGGTTCCGAGGAGTGAAAATGCTGAAGGTTTTTTGTTGAGTAGGCCTTATCGATGATATATAGAGTATATATGAAAAATATGAGAGTAGTGTCTAAGCGAGTTTTAGGTATATAGAGTACTTAGCTGGGAAACAGCAGATTTTGCATATGTTGTTGAACATTAAACACACAAAACAAAAAACACAAAACAGAAAACGACTTGGGAACAACATGCTAAAATAATTGGTGTTTTGTATTTATTTGTCATGGGTTTTTTGGTTTAGCTAGAAACCCCCTCTTAGTTAGATTTATTCGCTCAACAAATTTACGTAGAACTTTGACTTTATTCACCTAGTAAGACTTAAAATATCACTAAAGCTAAATAAAGTTGTTGAAGCAGAGTAGCCAAGAGCAGGAATTACAAAAAAAAAAAAAAAACACGAATAGAATAAATAATTTGAAATACATTTGTATGAAGTAAAAAAAAGTAAAAGTGCCTTAGAAAAAAACGAAAAAATATATGAAGTATAAAATCCAAAATATTTATAAATACCCCAGCTGGAACCCCCTTTCAAATTGGCAACGTTTTGTGTTTGCGAGAGAGCATATTTTTGTATGTACATAAACGGAACAGAATAATGTATTAAACTACTATATATATTTGTACATAGATAGTAAATCAAAGTGGTTTATTTTTTATATATACACCTATCTTCAAAGTATTTGTATTCCTACTTAATGAGTCTTCTTAACGATGAGATGCCCAGCCTGCCAATTGTTTAATTCCTTTTTTAGTTCTTAGTCCTTAGTTTATCTTTTGTCTTTGATCGCAGCATTTCGACATATATAGTATAGTATATATTTTTCAAATACGAAAATATGCAAAATATGCATGTCTATAGATATACGTACATGTATGTATATTTTTTTGTAAGAGTTAAGTGCAAATCTGCTGAGCATGGACTACTAGCTAAAATCTAAGGAAAGCTACACAAACACAAACGAGGAAAATAAATATAAAAAAACCGAAAACTGATGGAAGTATACATATAAAAATGTCAAAATAAAGAGAAATAATTTAAAAATGAAACAGAAACTTGTTTTTATAACCCAAAGTTAAGATGAATAAATTATGAGCCTTTGCGTAAGCCAAGAATTTTGGCAAGAAAAAATAAGAGGTAACCTGTTTTTCCTGCTCATGACATTTGCCTGCATCTTTCGTCATTACTTAATTTTAAGGTATTCAAACACGCTCAGGTTCTTCGAAAATCCTAAAGCCTAATGCCAAGATCATTGTCAGATTTTGTCGTGATTGGTACGGCCCCAGGGGCGCAGTCGGCCTTGACTTTAAGTTGGATTTTCTGGTTTCTTTCGATTTCTGTGAAAACAAAAGTGCGAAATATGCAAATCAAAAAAGGTGGCTGCCTTATTAACATAAATTAAATACAGACCAAGTTACTTTGATTAATATTTAAGACAGTTGCTAGCTGAGAAATCAAAAGCAGAACTTGCTGGGCTCTTCAACTGACTCATCTCCCAGCGGAGGAGACTGAAGCTTTTTTTCCACTGAAATTTATGCCATCTGATCGGGCTACGTTTATTTATTGACATGTTTGCTTTTATTGCAACTGAAACTGAGACTGAAGCTGAGGCAAAAGCTGTGGCGAATCCCCCGAAACCGCTTGAGGAAGATCAGAGCAAGCTCTGGCGACGTCTCGGCTCATCTTGTCAAGCTTCGGCTGAGCCGCGTTGCTTGCCATTTTACCAGTTAATATCTGCGTTGCTTTTCTAGCGCAAAACAGTCGAAATTGTCAGCTCGTTGGCAGAGCATCGCGCCAGCTCTCCCTTATATTTCTTTGAATTTAAGTGCCCCCAAGGAATCAAAAGGATATATACACACACTCTTAAAATGGCCAAAACATTTATCAGTGCTTTCCTGTGCCTAGCCATGTTTGGCTCAATGGGTTAGTACTTAATAAAATATTTAGAAAACAAAAGACTTTGGTCACAAACTTGAAAACATTTAAAACGGTTGTGGAACTATATATATAAGGTGTAGAAAATAAGTTTAAATGCCAAGGGTGACAAAAATAAAATAATATTTAAAGTATATATATGCAAGCAATATAGTGTAAAATTCAGCAATTTAAATTACTAAACAGGTTTATTTACTTAAAGTTGAGCAATTAAACCACAAGTGTGAATTATTTTGAGATGTGAAGTAATAAAACAGCAACTTTAAGGCTTATTTGTGCCATTTACTATGCAAAAAATGGTCTTAACTTAGAAATTATAGAATATAAAATCTGTTATATAGAGTATACAGTATAAACCATCCATTGATCATTGATTTTAATGACCAGAATTTAATTACTCCTAGCTTAGGCGCCTCTATTAAAAAATTAAAATAGAAACCCCACAATGACACCGTTGTATTCCCACACTTATTTTACATAATCTTCAATTACACACACCTAGCTTACTTGATCGAGCAACGTCATTGTTGCCATTAGGCAACTGTCGGCGATTGTGCTATATTCATCCATCCAGTTCACAAAATATTTCCCCACAATACCAGGAAATCTCACGAATGCGAAAGAGCATTGCCCGTAATTAATGCGGAAAGGAAAACGAATCTTAAACTTTTTATCAAAAAAATATCTATAAATCCCCCCGAAATTTCTGTAATATTTCAAGGTCAGGCAGGCAGTAATTTCCAAAAATTTAATTCACACGCTTTTGGAGGCAACCAGAAAGAAGACAAACATCAATATTGCATAACCTTTGGATGTCGCTCTGCTGTTGGCGCATTGGTCCATTGTTTGACCAAGAAACGGGTTTATCCGGCGTATAGCGGTCAGACATGTTAAAGGGGGGGAAGAGCCGTGCCGGAGGCGACACATCATCGATCTCGATGCGTGCCCAGCCGGTTGTTGTGACCTTTAAGCGCCTGCCTCTGCGGTTTTTTTTTAGGGGGAGCTCTTTGAATTCAGTTCAACATCTTTAGCAAAGCCAGTAGCAGGAGGAGAAGATGCTGGAAGTTGTGAAGAACACACGAGTTTGTGCAATCGTTTTAGATATGAAAATGCCTGGGAAAATAATTTGGGATACCTTAAACTGCTCTTTGAGTGTCAGGTGGTTTAATTCAGTCAACAATTTAATTAGTTTACCTTTAGGAGTCATTGTACAATCGGTAGCAATCACAAAAATCAATGTAGCAATAAATGTTGACTTATCCATTAAACATTTTTCTATCCGAATTTTATTAAGAAAGTATTGCGAATATATTTTTGGGTAGCTTGTTTTATATCTTAGTATTAGAATCTCCTAAAAAATATGAAAAAGAAACCATAAGACCCTTTTATATTGCATTAAAACTGTTATGAGAATGCTAATAATATTTAAACTATTCGTAAATACTAATAAATATAGACAAACACGTAGAAATCTAAAAAAGCTTACAACTGGAAGTTGAGATGCATTAATTTCCACTCTGTATTAATTTTAAGATTTAAAAATTACATTTTTGTAATTTTCCACAATCTTAACCCCTTAAAAATTTTTCAATAATTGAATAAAACAGTTTCCAAATTTTGTCCAATATTTAATTTTTAAATTAAGATTTAAATTGTTATTATATATAATCATTCGCACTTTGGTCATAAGACTTCCCAAAAAGAACTTAAATATTAGCAATTCATTATCTTTATCATATTTGTGGGGAAATCAAAGCCCAAAAATATCATAACTAAGCCAAAAAATCATTAATTTCAATTCGGAAACCTTTTCTGTGCTTGTTTTTATAAGGTTTACAAATCTGCTTACCAAGATTAAACATTTAAAAAAATTAAATTTTTTTTGAATTTTCAAAAATTTTAATGATGTAACCCCTTATAAAATTTTTAAAAAAATTGAAAAAAAAAATTTTTTGAACAATCATGGCTAGATCGATTTGTCTGTTAATGCTGATCAAGAATATATATGATTTATAGGGTCGGAAATGACTCCTTCATTGTGTTTGAAGCTTTTGACTAAAATTGGGATTCAAAGGTATAGAAAATTTCAGTTAAACGAAATACTATAAATTATCTAAATAATATTTAAAACATTCTTCCTCATTAATACTACAATTAAGCCCAACAATCCACTCATTTGATTAGTATTATTATTCGTATGAAGCACAAACAAATCCCCGCACTACATAGTAATTATAGTTTGTAGTAATCCCATTAAAAGCACTAAAAACTTAATTAACATTTCGCGAACTATTCACGTGGGTTCAACAATCGGGGTGTGAACCGGTGCGATTCATTAAAATTTCAAGAGCCGCGTCTGTAATAACGAGAGCTGAGCCATTGTCAAGCCAGCCTCTCACAGTTAAATACAAAAATATATATCGAATAGATAAAGAAAAAAGCCAGTTTCTCATCATATAAATCATTAGAGGTAAGCTCGCTCACCCCCGCCTCCGATTAAGCCGCATTAACCATCGTCTGTTGTATCTTACAGCCGCCGCTGCAGGTGCCGCTTGCAGGGAGGCGAATGGAACTGCTCCCGTGTCCGGATCCTGCGATGCCTACATCGAGTGCAAGAATGGCGTGGCCGAGGAGAAGCTCTGTCCCGATGGTCTGCTGTACAATGAGAAGTCCACCGGCTATCCCTGCGGCTATCCCATCGATGTGGAGTGCTCTCAGGGCCAGGCCCGCCTGCAGGCTGCCCAGCCCACGGAGGATTGCCCTCATCAGTTCGGTTACTACCGCATGGGTGATGCCAGCCACTGTGGTCAGTTCATGAACTGTGCGGCCGGCCGAGGCTTTGTGTTTGACTGCCCCGAGGGTCTGGCCTGGAACCCGGCCACCTACAAGTGCGATTGGCCCGATCAGGTTGAGGATTGCGATGCCGAGGCCTTCCTGGGCTTCAGGTGCCCGGCCCCTGCACCCAAGTCAGAGCTGCTGGGCGAGCAGGAGGCGGACTATACCTTCCATCCCTCGCAGGACAATTGCCAGGTTTACTTCATCTGCATTGAGGGACGCCCACGCCGCATTGGCTGTGGCGAGGATCAGGCTTTTAACCAGGAGCTAAAGCAGTGCGATGACATCGACAATGTGCCCAACTGCAGCAGTGCCATTCGCGAGAAGGGTGCCCAGATCAAGGCCGCCCGCCAGCATGCCAAGAAGAACTAAGTCCCGAAGAGGCAAAGTCGAAGTCGAACAGGCCATATATGTATATAAGGCAACAGGTTGCTCGAGTTTTCTAGTCTGTAGTTAAAGATCTTGGCAAAAAATTGTTAGTTCACATTTTGCTTGTCACAATAATAAAAAAAAAGACGTTTTTAAAAAAAAAGAAAACCATTTTGTATATTATAAAAGGGTTAAGTAGAGTTTCAGGATCTAAGAACTTACCTCTCTAACTTCTTAATTCTTGTCTTTACAGTTCTTGCCTCACCCGAGTGTCCCTCACCCAATGGCAGATTCGCCTCGGGCGATCAGTGTGATGCTTACACAGAATGCCAGGATGATGTGCCAGTACCCAAGCTATGCCCCGATGGTTTGCTCTTCCATCAGCGCACCAAGGCCACTGGAGAATGCACATACGCCCCGTATTCCACCTGCAAGGAAAGGGCGCGTCTGCAGCCTGCCAATAGCACGGATGAGTGCCCGCGTCAGTTTGGCTTCTATCCCAATGGAGACAACACCAAGTGTGGTGTCTACCGCAACTGTGCCCATGGTGTGGCTAGTCTCACCAAGTGCCCTGAGGGATTGGCCTTCAATGAGGAGACTTATCAGTGCGACTGGCCCGATCTAGTGGCCAACTGCAATGCCGAGGCCTTCCTGGGCTTCAACTGCCCTGCTGCTGATCCCGTCGATGGCATTGCTCCCGAGGTGGATGTCAGTCCGGAGGGTGAACTGCGTTATTACCGTCACCCCCAGACCTGCAAGAAGTACTTTGTGTGCGTCAATGGACATCCGCGTCTGTACAACTGCGGCAAGTACCTGGCCTTCAACTCGCAGTCCAAGTTGTGTGACTTTTACAACAAGGTCCCCGAATGCTATGCCCTGCTCAAGGAGAAGCAGCGACTCAAGGCGGAGAAGCAGCAGGCCTAGGTCTAGGACATGGTTGAACACCCGCTGAATCACCAAAAGGCGTCACAGAGGCTGCAAGCTCAACACGCATGAACACACATCCTGTGCAATAATTATTATCTTGTAAATATATAACTACTTGTTGTTTGTGGATTGAATAAATGAGTAAAGTATGTATGAGTAAAGTGGGATATAGATTGTAATTAGAGAGGATTATTCCTTGGGTAAGGCCGCGCGCACACTACGAGCTGAAAGCGGAGCTGACGGCTGAGAGCTTATCCGCGGAAAGCTTATCAGCGATCGGAGCTTTTTGCAGCCGCGCACACTGCGAGCTGAAGCTGATGTTGATTTGTAATTGTTTTTCAAGCAATACGTTTAAAAAAAAACATATTTTAATTCTTTAATATTTTTAAAATATCGTTGTTAATGCGATGACATATTTATTTAGATCATCATGACATTTAAATTTTCGAAATCGGACCACCCAGTTCTCCAGAATATGGTTGACAAAGTACGTTTTTTTAGTGTACTTTGGCACCCTGTATCTCGGAAAGTTGACAATATTTTTATTTTAATAAATATTAAAAAAATTCTTCATACTTTTCTATATAACTGGACAGAAATTTAAATTTCTGTTACTTAAGCGCTAATTAGGGCAATTTTTTAAAGAATAGTCTAAAAAATCAGCTCGCGTCAGCTGCTAACAAAATCAAACATGTTTGGTTGATCAAACAGAGCGGAGCGGAGCTGACCTTATCAGCTTTCAGCTCCGCTCTCAGTGTGCGCGCTCTCATACAAGTAGTGTGTTTGTTTCAGAGAGCTGATAAGCCGTCAGCCGTCAGCTCCGCTTTCAGCTCGTAGTGTGCGCGCGGCCTAAGTCAGGGGATAAAAAGAAAACTATCAAAATATGCTTGTTAAAGCAATTAAAAACGATATATAGACGATAGCGTTGACAAAAGTATCGCTAAATATTAGCAAAAGTATTTGGAAAAGAGGGTTTTTTAAACAAAACAAATTGATCGAGATATATTTCACCTTTTATGTCCTGTTTTCACCCATTTTACAGCACATTTCCGAAAATTATATTACAATTGCCTTGCCTAAGTTATCATAAAAAAGCTCACAAACGATACATTTTTGTGGTAAATAATTCGACATTTAAAATAAAACTCGCTAAATAATAGTAAACACGCCTAAGAACTATAAAAGTCTTAAAATTGCCGTGCAAAAGATATCATAAAAGGCTCGCTAACGAACCGTTTTTGACCTAACTAAAATTAAATTCGCTGTGATTCGATTTCTGAGCATTTTTAAATCTAAAGCAAGAAATATATAAAATATATCATAACTAAGCCAAAAATGCATAAATTTCGATTCGGAAAGCAGTGTTGTGTTAGTTTTAATTAATTAAAAAAAACTGCATACCAAATTTAAAATTTTAAGAAATCAAAATTTTTGGTCATTTTTGCTCATTTTAATGATGTAACCCCTTATGAAATTTCGCAAAAATGGCCAAAAAATCGATTTCTTCCGGACATGTCTAGAAAGATTCGCATGTTAATGCTGATCAAGAATATATATGGTTTATGGGGTCGGAAATAATTCCTTGACTTAGAAAAATATTATTTTGTATTATAAAATCTGATTTTTTATATAAAAAAACTTTTTGATTTTTATTAAATTAAAAATATCATTACTCGGCCAAAAGAGCATTAATTTTAAATCGGAAAACTTTTCTGTGCAAGATTTTCTACAGTTAATAAATCTGCATACTTCATTTAAAAATTTTGAAAATTCAATTTTTTATCAAAATCAAAAATTTTAATGATGTAACCCTTATAAAATTTAGCAAAAATGGCCAAAAAATCGATTTCTTCCTGACATATCTAGAAAGATTCCCCTGTTGATGCTGATCAAGAATATATATACTTTATAGGGTCGGAAACCGTCCTTCACTGCGTTGCACTCTTCTGACTAAAATTATAATACTCTGCAAGGGTATAAAAATATTACTTACATGTTACTCCTTAAAGATTTTCCAAATTTCTTTCCCTGATAATAAAAAAACACTTTACTCTTTCGGTTTTTTTTTTTTTTTTTGTTTTTAATTTGTAATTTATCATCAGTTTCAGAGTTTTTTTTTGGGTTTCGAAATGTAGTGTGTTAGTTTAATAATAGTTTGCTTATCCGTAATTGGTAGATTAATTACACTTAGATCCATTTTACATATATGTTTGATGGCCAACCACTTATCCAGCATTTAAAGATTACATCGTAAACACATTTACCATGCTCGTCCTGTCCGCTCCCCCTCGACTGATCCTCAATTCAATATCAATTTTTACAACGTTTTTTCTTCCTTTTTGTTTTAAAAATAAAACAATTTTGAGAACCAATGTTTTGTTTTCGTTTTTGGAAATAATTTAAGCTCGAATTTTGTATTGTGTTGATTTGAAAACATTCTCTGTATCTCTGGGCATTTATCACTAAGTAACCAATTAATTTCGCACAGAACTGCATAGAGTTGCTTAAGAACTAAATCCTCTCCGTTGATCCGATCCCCTTCTTTGGCTATAAAAATTAAATTACATTTAGGTTATATGCTTTTTGAACTTTTGCACTATTTTGTTGTAGATGTTTTTAGTTTTTTTTTTTTTTTTTTGTCTTTCATTGTTTGTTTTATCCTTTTTTGCTGCTGCTGTGTGAGTTTGTTGTTCGTTACATTAAATTACAACAAATTAAGTAGTTAAGATTAGTGTTTTGTTTGGTTTTACAAATTTTAGTTTCACTTCGATTCGTATCGTTTCATTTTTTTTATTTTTTGCTTTGTGGTGCTTGGCTAAGGCGACTTTTGTTCGGTTGCTTTCACTTTGTTGTTTTTGTTGTCTTTACATTTTGCAATATATTTAACTTTTGTATCTGTCCGTGTTCATGCGTTTTTCCGTTATCCGTTTTCACATTTTCATTTAATACGTACACAAAAAAATAAGGAAAATATATATATTTCAAAACGAAGAGAACATTTTTTAGTCAGAAAAAAAAAAACAAAGAACAAAGGAACAAACGAAAATACACTTTAGTCGTTTTTAAAATTTGTGCTAGAAATTCGGCTATTAAAATTATTTAAGTTCGTACATACACTTGGAGAAAAAGTACACATCGTCGCTTCGTTTCATTGTATTTCTTTTTTTTGTTTTCTTCGTTACATTTTTTTGGTTTTCACTTTAACATATTCAGTCTTTCAGCTTTCAACATAAATAAATTAATTAAATTAATTTATTTGATTACATTTAAAAACATCTTGTTGCTGGTTGGTTTCGCTGCCTGTAAATAATTTCGAGTTCTATTGCATTTATGTGGTAATTTCTCGCTTGTCTGCCCGTTGCTTGTCTTTAAAATTTATAGCCAAAAAGTTGTTTCAAGAGAATTTTGAAAAAATTTCACATCCCGTTCAAAGTTGGTTGTAAAAGCCAAAAGTTTGCTTTGTTTGCTTTGCTGCCTTACTTAACTTACTGCTACTTTTCTTGTATTTATCATTTACATTTAGTTGTAGTAATTATTATATATTTTTTAATATAGTTTTCCAATCTCAATCCACCATTTTCTTTTTTGTTTTTAAGTAAACTGCCTTCGTTTTGGGTTTCCTCAATTTAAAATCTTTTTTGCATGGACGTAGCATCTATTCGATCTCCAAAATGGTTTTGCTTAACCTTAATTTAAAGTTATATATATATAAGAAATATATAAAATTTTGTGTCTAAATTCAGTTGTTTTTAGGAGTTTTCATTTTTGGTTGAAACTAAAATCACTTTCCGACACATTTCCTCTGAAAGCTTACTCAAATATCAATCTCCATTTCTTTTATTTTGGTTTTGTTTTTGGTTTTGGGTGGGGCTTACGTTATCGTAGTTCTATATAGTCTTTATTGCGATCATTGCTTTTATATACGCCAACTGAAAGTTTGGTTGTCTAAAATTGTTTCTCATTTCGCACGTTTCTTACTGTATAAACCGGTCTCTTGTTAAGGCATCTGCTTTTTGTCACTGAAGTGGTAGGTTTTTGTTTTGTTTTTAGTTTTGGTTTTTGCTTTTCAATATGTTTTTTTTTTTAGCTGCATTGGAATTTTGGTTTAATTTCTATTTCAACTTAAAATTTCCCGTGTAATGTTTAAAGACTCCGAAAGTTGATTTTATATTTGCCCAAATGTTCTTTTTTTTTAGATTTGACTCCTAAAAACAACGAAATACATTTGTTATTCATTAGTGAATAATTTTGCTGTGCCTTAAGTTACAATTTTAATTTGAAAAGTTTCGTTTGCTTTTGGTTTTTTTTTTTTTTTGCGTTGTAATATAGTTACTAGACAAAGTTTCTCGATTTAAATTCAATTTAGAATTTAGACTTTCGATTTTATTTTTGGGGATTTCTTAATTTAGTTTCTCCTTCTATATATCTCTTACTCAACTTAAAATTTGGTTTATGGTTCGGCCTAAAATTGTATGCAGTTTACAATGCGCATTTGTTATATTTTTGTTTTTTTTATAGATTACTTTGAGTATTAATTATTTTTACGCATATAATGGCCTTGCTGGTTACGGCTTCTTAATTGTTTAGCTGAAAATTTTAAATATAAAAACAAATACCATACCTAGTTTAAATATAAAATAAATAAAAACACTTTGTTATGTTTCAAAATCAAAGAATAGTTTAATTTTAATTGAAAAACTTAACATTGTATAATGAAATATCAACTTAGGTTTGTTTTTTTTTAATACAAAAAATATATAGAAACATTAAAAAAAGTAATGTAAAGCATAATTCTTTAAACAAATCTTTAAAAATATAATTTACTGCATTTATTCTTTTGTATTTTTGTGGCAAATTAAAAGTTTTAGTTATTATTTTTAGTGGAACTTTCGCTTTTTGCCACCACGCTTCTTGCCCTTGCCCTTCTTGGCCAGTTTTCGCTTTTTGCTGCCATCGCCACGCATCGCAGATTCCCGGCTGATTTCTCCAAGGATTTCGTCGCCCAGTGTTCCTGTGGTTAAGAAAGTTATCTTAATTAATGATACTCTGCTTGAGAAGCCCGGGAGATGACACTTACCCAAGGTGGTCAGCTTGCGTTGACGATGCTTCTCCGCCTTGGTCACCGGCAGACGCATCAAATAGGTCTCCTCGTACTCCTGCTTCTCCTTTTGCGCATGTGACAGTATCTGCTGAGCCCGCGAGCCAGAGGATATCTCAGTGGGAGCATCCAAGTACTCCTCCTTGAGGTCTTGCAGCATAGAGGAACTAGGGAATAATTCAATTAAAATTAAAGAAACCTACACTAGAAACTCTCATCAAACTTACGTGATGGACCGCTTCTTGGCCCTTTCCAAAGCCTTCTTCTCCTTGTCTGCATCCCGCTCATCCCCATCGTAGTACACAGGCTTTATACGTGGCGGCACATAGACTCCTGACTTGCCAGCCGTGGCTGCCTTGCGCGGCTTTTTCGCTGGTCCTGCTCCATCCTCATCTTCCTCATCTTCATCCTCCTCACTATCGCTACCTGCTTCTGCCTCATCCTCATCGTCATCATCTCCATCACGGCCTGCTCCAGCCGCACTGCTCATCATATCATCCGGATTTGGCTTATAGAGTATGGGATCTGTACTGCTGGACACCCCTGTGGTGGCTGTCTTTACCAGCTTATCGATCTGATAGCGCAGCTTGTGGTCTATGGGCCGAATCTTCTCCAGCACTGTGCGTATTTCGATCAGGCGCTCAATGGAGGGATCACCCTCAATGGTCTCGCCGGAGCATTTGCGCAGCACCACGTAGGTCAGGTTAATCAAGTAGTCGAGCAGCATGTGGTATTTCACCTCGAGGAAGCTGAGTCCGTACTCTGTGGTCAGTTCACCGCGCTTCACACGCTGCAGCATGCCCTCCACGAGATCTGTTACTTGTTTGACATTGCTGTTCATCTCACCCAGAAGTTGGATGGCCTGAGGAATGTCCTGTTGCCCCTGAACCTCGCAATCGTAGTCGAGTGCCTGTGGAGGAAAGACAGTTTTTTTTAGTTGGTAATTTAAAGCGGAAGAAAGGGATAAGTATATTTATTTATAGATATTAATATAAATATATATTTCAGCTTATATATATATAAATAAATAAGATGCATAACGCTTGCTAAGGTGAGTACCCAAAGAACCCACAAGAAGTGACCTCTTTAACTGCCTTTTCATCGAAATTTCATAATTACGTTACGCATCTTATTTTGTACTTGTATGTTGTACTTATTCTGTTTTACATGAAATTTATTTCTTAAGCAATTTAAAAAAAATCTAAAAATATATTAAAGAGCTCACCATGCTGATGCTCAGATATATTTTACGCAACTAAACCCAAAGTCCGCCATTTTGGCTTATAGCAAATAATGCACTTGTCCTGGCCCAGGGACAGACCTGCAGCAAGCCCTCATCATTGCGCAAAAATGAGTAGAATGGTATTATATCATGCAAACAGCACCCCCCTTCGGGTTATGTGTCGCGAAACTCATTTGCATATTTTATTGGTTGCCATTTAATTATTTGCATTTTACAACATTTTTGGCCACACACACACACAGTCACCTCTCATCCTGCCCAGCTCCACACCCATCATCCCCATTGGAGGGCATCTGCTCTTTGACCGACCCGGCTTATGCTGCATTTATTTTCAATTAATATTAATAAAGCAGGCGTCGCAGGACTGGTCTGGTTTAGGATGGGGGATTTGTCTATTCTAGAGATTAATTGCAAAATAGCATGGATCGCACAATTTTTTTATTGTGGCTCGTTTCGTTTGTTTTTGTCATTCGTGGTCTGCGAATTTTGTCTGCAGTTTACAAAGCAATTTACCAAATAATTATTTTGATAGCAAAATTTGCTGGTCGAGTGCAGAGAGCTGCCCGCAGGTTTTATGGCACTTTTTGCCTCGAATTTGCATATTATTATTGGCAAATTATTTTAATTGCATTTTGTGGCCAGGCATATACATAAAACAAAGTGAATTCCTCTCAAAATGTGGCTAAAATGGGAAATGGAATTTATTTACGGCGGGGGCTCGCTATTTTCATATACATATTATATAAAATAAGTACAGTTTTTTGTATACATATTTAAATATAATCAAGAGTACAGTTGATTCAAAATGCGGGTTCATTGGAATGTGAAAATAACAGAAGGTGTTCAGTAAGGAACAAATATAAAGTTCAATTATTTATAACATATTGCATGAATTATAAACAATTATTTTCTGAAAATAACAGCAAGCTAATGATGGGTTTTAAAAAGATAACTTGGAAAAACACTAAATTTATCTTTTTCTTATAAAAAAAAATCAACAATTAGCTTCTTAACCTGTATTTTTGACCAGAAAGAAAGCCTTTCTAAAATATATATGTGTATATTAAATGAAACCAAAAGTAAAAGTAGAAGAAACTTTTCTTTAAAAGATCCTACCTTAATATGTCGATAAATACAGAAACATCATTTATTTAATCATCGTTAAAGGTCTATGTTTTAATGTAGTTACTTAAATATTTAAGTTTATAGTAATGTCATATTTTTAAAAATTTTATTTATTAATGTATCTCCCCATAATATAAAACTAAACAGCAACAAGGCTGCAATACTCGTTTTTTTTTAAATAATTCTTTACTAAATTCACAAATTTTCAAATATATTCATTTAAACCCAGAATCCCTATAAATTTTAATCCCTAAACAATCGACATTTCATTAAAAATTCCGTAAATACTTGGTACTATTTGACATTGTACAAGTAAAGCCTGTAAGTCTGACAGTATAAACGTAATTACGCCTGTGACACGCACTTGACTAACGTGGAAAATAGCTAACCTCCCTGACCCGGGGAAACAATAGCGTTGAATAAAACGCGGGCCATATTTTAGGAGCAACAGCCAATTGCAGTAACGATGATGCTTTCCAACTGGCTGCCATTCCAATGCCCAAACACAATTCCACCATCCCAAAATAAGCGAAATGAGATGGGGATGGGCATAACGAGGCCTCCCATTAAAAACACCAGCAATAACAACTAGGGGGTAACAACAACAGCAACAACAACATGGGACCTGCTGCCAAAAGCAATTACAACAAAATGGCAAACTATAGTTTTGGTCCCCACACTAGACCCAATGCATCCCTTTGCGTGGCGAAATGATTTAAAATTCGACGGGCTTTTTGTGTAATTTTCGAATGGGGGAAACAAAAACGACAACAAACAATGCAATTGTTGTAGTTGCAGTTGCAATAGCAGTTGCAGTTGCAGACGCAGTTGTTGCAGCATTAACCGTTATTTAGCAATGGATTTTATGTGTGTTGAGGGGGTCTGAAATGCGCCAGTAAGTAGGCAATGCAAATGCAATTGAATGCATTTTCGGGTGGCCAGGGATGTGTGACCACCCCACCCCCCTTGGGTGGTACATATGTACACATGTACATGCTAGCACTCTTGTCCAGGCTGTCAACACTATATATATATATGTATATATATATTTATATATATATATACAGCTCCCTCTCTTTGCGCCACCGAATAAACAAACAATTTTTCCCTGGCATTTTTGCCGGCGCATGAATAAAATATAAAATGCAATTTCTGTTTGTTTGCCTGGCCAGGTTATAGGACTCCCCTACCACCCACCACACCCACTGTACCCCTTGCACCACAATCGCAGAAATTAATGACAACATTTGATGGCGTCTGACTCTGCCTCTTTGCCTCATCCCTCCTCTGCACAGTTTCCGTCGCGTCTGAAATTATCATGGTCTGAATTTTGGTATCCAATTTGTTTTTTATATTATTTTATGCATTAATGCCATAAACAAATGTTGGTATGAGCGTGCGTGTGTGTGGTTTGGAATGGCGTCTGCGATAATTACGTAAATCCCTTGCATATGTATAGGCTGCTCTCAAATTGGCATTGCGTGCATAATTTTTGACAGACGGCAAAAGATATATACAATTGTGTGGCTTGTTGGGGGAAAGGGTTTCAGTATGCTAACAATTTTCATTATAGAATGATTTGCGAATAAGTGTGTGGTTGAAAATGATAGATATATTTACTAGAACTATTTTCTTTTAGATACAAATTAATTGAAACTACTAAGAAAATACTTTTTAAAGCATATATGAAATGCTAAAATTGTTTCTGACTTCACCTTTACATTTTTAAAAAGGTATATACATATAATATAATATTTATTAAATTAATTTTAAACCAAAAACTTTCCCTGACCAAGCTAAACTCTACTACAAACCCACCTAAAAACCATTATCCATCCAAGACTCCTATAAGCCCAGCACTAATGCCACCTTGACATATCCCAAATCACAGGCCCAAGCACTTGGCACCGATTTGATGGGTGCAGTTGAGAAGGTACGTGGCAGCAGGATCACTCGTTTCAATTAGAAGCCTTCCACAAATGGGAAGGACACACCCTCGAAATTCCAACCACGTTGCGTTGCCAGCACGGTGACGCCCATTAGAAATCGATTGACATAACTCAAAAATTGTGCAAATTAACGTTAAACCAGCGAGCCAACGACAATATGGGGGCTATGGAGTGGGCCTGGGTCTCCACATAAATAACGGCGGTTCGGGTCAGAGCCAGAAATATGACCCGGCAGGAGGGGGAAGCACAGAGCACAGAGCACTGAGAGCGGAGCGGACACTTTTTGGCGGCTGGCTGATGAAATACGCGCACAGGCTGGCGCCTAACCGCAGTGAGCCACCCAACCACATGGTCATCCTTGCTTCGCGGCGTGAAGTTTCTCCCAACCGAAAAACAGGGGACATCAAAATTTATGCAACGTTTCGGGCTACGTGTCGCTGTCTTTGTTGCCACCACAACAGTTGTTGTTGTTGATGCTATTGCTATCGTTGTTGCTGCCATGTCCTGGGTCCTTGCATTGCCAATATCCGAAATATTGATTGGAGTTTATGGGGAGAGAGTGCTGGCAAGCGCAGAGCTTAGCCAGCTATTTTGGAGACCCAGCGACCAGCGAGCAGAGAGCCACTTGCTAATAAAATGAAACCGCAGCAAAATCGAGCAGCGAAAATAGTGTTCCGAGAAGAGATTTCTCCCAAAAAGAGTGATAAAAACTTATGGATGATATAATGAATGAGATCTTTAAGCTACTAGGATAGCAATAGGTCCTAAACAGGAATGTTTTCTTTAAAATTAAATCCTTAAATACAGTTAATAATTATATTTATATTATTTTAGTTATATTAATTATTTTTATAGTTTAAATTATATAAGTAAAGTAGGAGCAAACAAATTTCCTAAAGGGTTTCCTCAAAAAAAGTTTTACTAAAGGTTCTTTTACAATTTAATTAATAATTGAGGTTTGAAATCGCTTTAGAAAAGTGTCTAAAAGTATGCAATGAAAATTATTAAGTGCCAAATGCTTAACATGGTAGAACAGCCTAATTTTTGACACCTTTTTAAGGATTTTAAAAGCTTTAGTGATGATTCTAGGATCCCCGAAGAAGATAACAAATAATACATATATTTTTCATGATGTTCATAACAACAATATATATTTCTCCATGACATTCCAAACCCTACAACCCAACAAATTGCATTCCAACAAAAATGCCTGACATTTGACACTGTCATTATATTTGTTGCGGTTCTGATGTTTGTTGGATTTTCTGGCCGATGCATTGGGTAGATGTTTCGTTGGGAGGGACGATGATGATAATGGGGGTTAGGTTCGAAATTGGACAAAAACGGGAAATGAAACTTTTGCGGTGCAGCAGCAATGCAAATGTGAATATCCCTAAATGTACAGACACTTTTGCATATGCGTGGATTTGCATTGTAGCATCCACTATGTGTACATAAATGCTTATATACGCGACGCCACTCATATATGCGAATGGCAATAAATAATTGCATATTTTATACTGCATTGCACACACACACACACAGACACACACAAGGAGAGGAGGAAACACCGCCATTTGCCGCCTCAATTGG